AGTCCAGTGGTCAAGACTCCATGCTTCCAATGCAGGGGGTGCAGGTTCCATCCCTGGTCAGGGAACTAAGATCCCACATGCTGCATGGCACAGCCAAAAATAAATAAAATTTTTTAATTAAAAAAAAAAAATTTGTATAGGGAATTCCCTGGTAGTCCAGGTTAGTACTGGGTGCTTTCATTGCCATGGGTCTGAGTTCAATCCCTGGTCAGGGAACTAAGATCCCTCAAGTCGCATGGCACAGCCAAAATAAATAAATTAACTAATAAAATAAAATAAAATTCGTATAAAACAATTTTAAATGAAGTCACATTTAAAACAATTGTATTAGCCTCAGTCACCTGTGTTAAAGTACCACATAGCACTATGATCTTAACTCCGGAACTAGTTCATTTTTTTGTCTATAGCCAGAATGTAGTCATCTTACAAATGGTCAAAGAAATGGGTGAGAAAATAAGTCTGAATTGGCTAAATCCACCCAAACATTTTAATACTGTTGCAATTATGTACATATACGAATGGCAAATATTTTGAGTCAAATATACTGAAGATACTCCTAAGTCACTATAATTAATCTAAGGGATATTTAAAGATTCAGTCAGTGATTTGCCAGCTCTCTCTCTCAATGTCCCTTTACACGACAGAAAATTGTTATGCTTTCAAACCTTAAAGCTCTGGTCCCAATTAGGACTGTCATTGAATATGTAATACAGCACTTCAGCTAGGAGATAGAAAAGAGGGTAAATATTTAAAAAGAAGTATTTCAGTGTAGGAGATATGAGAAATGAGGCTGGAAATACAGAAGATCCTGAATACCATCTCAAGGAGTTTGAACTGTATTCTAAAAGTCCTTGAAGATATTTTTGAGGATGAATAAAAGAACAGAGTAATGGAAGAAACAATAACCACTATTTTGAGGTCCTAACATTGGACTCTTCCATGACCTTCTGTTGATAAACAAATTTCTTCACTTTTCTGGGCCTCAAATTCTTCATCTGTTAGAAAAAAGAACTGAGACAGAATCTAGTTTAGGGCCCACTCAGCTTTGGAAAATTCAGTAATTTAGATAGAAATTATGCTTTAGGAATATCACATCTGACAGACATACTGGAGCTGGGGGAGAAATAATAAGCAACATATCCAGTAAAAGAGGAAAGCAAATAAAAGCAGTTAGAGCTTAATAAAGGATAATAAATATAGAGTATGACTAAGTGATAGATGGGGAAAAGAGCATCCTGACTTAAGTGCGTGATTTATGGTAAGCATCACAAAGTAGGATATAAAGCTTTGGGAAAGGTATGGAAGGGCCTGAAAGTTAGGTGAGAGACTTTGGCATATGATCTGCAAGCAAGAGAAAGCTGATGCAGTTATCTACATGTAAAGTGCAAAGGGCCTAAATGCAAAATAGAGGAATACATTTGAGGCATTTTCAAGGGGGAAAAAAGTCACGGTTTGATATATGTTTGAATATGGGAAATAAAGGAAAAGAAAATTAAATGACAGACATGTAGAAATTACTAACTCCTTAATTGAACAGACTCAGCATTAAAATTAATCAGAAACAATTCAAATACTGATCTTGGACTTTATGACAGATTTTAGCAATAAAGTGCTAGTGTGAATGCTTTTACTGAAGTTTTTAATCTTATTTTAAATACGTCCCCTGTGTGAATGCACTGAAATTTTCAAATCACTGTTAGCTGAGAATTTTCAGAGTTAGTACAAATGCAAGATAACCTTGCTAGAAAATGGAATAGCAAAGCCATTAACTGAACAAAACCACCTTAAGTTATATACAAAAAGGAAACAATAGTAATTTTTTATATTGCTTTCAGGAGAAAATGAGTCAGATACATAGCCACAAAGATCGAAATATGTCATTTGAACCGAATTATTGTTAACCATTTTCTGTTGCGTGATTATTTGATTTATGACATTGACCTATGATACTAATATATCTGGCATGCATATATATATACTTTTTTTTTTAACTAGAATAAAACAGGTAGCCATACTATTACCCAGATTAAGTCCTTTTAATGCTCTTTGCTGAAATTTTTTCTCAAATTCTAGTTGAAGCTGCCAGGAGAAACTTAAGGCATTATATACTTAGGCTAAAATGTTCTCCATTGAAATGAGGTGTAAATAAAACTATAAGGTTTTTAAGGTGTAAACAAAATTCCAATTGCCTTAGGGTTGAAAAAAATTCAACTTTGATAGAAATTAGCTTGGCTCTGAGAATCAACTCTAATAAGATAATGATTAGTCACAAAGACTTGAAAATGAAGGCTAGAAAATATTATATCAGGCTTTCAGGAAACAGCTAAAATATAGCACCTAAAAATTAAATATTTTAATAAAAACATTGTCACTAGAATTCCACTTAGAAACTACTCCAGGATTTTTGTAAGAAAACTAAGCACAGATGCTAACAAAACACTTGCCTAGTTACTGAAGTCATAATGTATCAATAAAATATCAGATTTTATAAAAAAAAAAATATCAGATTTTGAAAAACTGTGATTAATGACAGGTCCCAGAAAATCCATAAATAATTTCCTACAGCACAAATAGAAACTGTTGGGCTTCCCTGGTGGTGCAGCGGTTAAGAATCCGCCTGCCAATGCAGGGGACACAGGTTCGAGCTCTGGTCCGGGAAGATCCCACATGCTGCAGAGCAACTAAGCCCGTGTGCCACAACTACTGAATCCCGCGTGCCTAGAGCCCGTGCTCCGCAACAAGAGAAGCCATGGCAATGAGAAGCCCACGCACCACAACGAAGAACCCCCGCTTGCTGCAACTAGAGAAAGCCCATGCGCAGCAACAAGGACCCAACTCAGCCAAAAATAAGTAAATAAACTTATTAAAAAAAAAAAGAAACTGTTTACACAAATCCCATTATTTACATTTGGAAACTCTATTGTCAAATATGGAAAAGGAGACCTATATTTACTACTGACTTTGACTAGTTTTTAAACCTTTGGTGTCTCCTTTGCTCAGTTTTAAAATGAAAACCAAGAGTATAGTATACATTTAAATAATTATAATACAAATGTTAAGAGCTTCAGACAATAGAATTCCACCATAACAGCTATTCTACTGGAACAATACTGGTACGAAATTAAAACAAATTATATGCAGAAAAAAACAGGTAAACATGATTAGTTTACCAAAATATCAGTACACAGCACTTGTTTCCGGACACAATGTAGCTGCTAATAATTCCTGTTTCAACAAAACTAAGTCATTGGGACTTCCCTGGTGGTGCAGTGGTTAAGAGTCCTCCTGCCAATGCAGGAGACATGGGTTCGAGCCCTGGCCTGGGAAGATCCCATATGCCGCGGAGCAACTAAGCCCGTGTGCCACAACTACTGACCGTGCGCTCTAGAGCCCACGACCCAAAACTACCGAGCCACGTGCTGCAACTACTGAAGCCTGCACGCCTAGAGCCCGTGCTCCGCAACAAGAGAAGCCACCGCAATGAGAAGCCCACACACTGCAAGGAAGAGTAGCCCCTGCTCGACGCAACTAGAGAAAGTCCATGCACAGCAACGAAGACCCAATGCAGCCAAAAATTAAATAAATTAATAAATAAATAAATTTATTAAAAAAACTAAGTCATTATCAGGTTCCCCACTATTTAACACAGAGGAGAAATACTTGGATCTGAATAAACATAATCTTTAACTATTATTTCATATTATTTTCAGTTGTCTGCAGAAGTAACTGTTGATTATTTAACCCCTCAAATCAAGAGTAATTAAAATAAAAACCCTAATGTATCCATTTCCTTAAAGAGAAAGGTCACCAGGACTTCCCTGATGGCACAGTGGTTAAGAATCCACCTGCCAATGCAGGGGACACTGGTTTGAGCCCTGGTCTAGGAAGATCCCACATGCTGCGGAGCAAATAAGCCTGTGCGCCACATCTACTGAGCCTGCACTCCAGAGCCCGCGAGCCCCAACTACTGAAGCCTGCGCGCCTAGAGCCTGTTCTCTGCAACAAGAGAAGCCACTGCAATGAGAAGCCCGCAGCACCACAACGAAGAGTAGCCCCTGCTCACCGCAACTAGAGAAAGCCTGTGCGCAGCAACAAAGACCCACCGCAGCCCAAAATTAATTAATTAATTAAAAAAGAGAAAGGTCACCTATATAACAAGATAATCATGTCCATCATATTTAGAACACCGAAGTCAGACGATCACACTGTCTCTGCAACTGACCTCAAATAACAAAATTTTAAGTAAAATGCAGCAAAGAACTAGTATCAGGTATGTCATAAATAAAAATATATTCAAATTAACAGAATAAGGTGAAACTTTTCTGGGTACTCAAAGAAACCCAAAATTTCATTCTGTAAACTCCTTAGGAAACTTGCTTTAATTTTCAAACCATAAGTCAAGAAACAGTAAAAAAAAAAAAAAAGAAAAAAAAAAAAAAAAAAAAAAAAAAAAAATTTTCCTAAGAGCAATGGGAAGAAATATTGAAACAAACACTTTCAATGACATATTTTGTTACTTTATTTTGAAAATGACTTTTTGTTGACTTTATTTTGAAAATGTAAATATTCATTTGCTCCTTTTACATCTATTTATCATTTTCCTTTGCTTGATAAATTCTTTAGAGCTGGTGTTTCTACTTTAAATTCAAATAATTGAAAACCAGTCATGGATAGTTTTTATAAAGTATGGATTAATACATTTATTTTTAAATATAACTTATGAATACTGACACCTTAACATGACAAATGAGGAACCTCTAACATAATTAAACCAATTAATCAATTTAATGTTTGAAAAACTATATATAACTGTCCAAACTGCTGTGTAAAACAGATATTTTGCTAGTTGGTCCATGAATTTTTAAAAGAAGTTTCACAGATAAGCTTAAAACATACAGCATTTGCAAACTTTTTTACACTATTATGCATAGCCTAATTCACATAGTTATATCTCCAACCCGACATACACCTACAGTACATTTGTTCAGAAGACGACTGACCTGGCTGAGATACCGCAGTGGCTGTAAACTGAGTAGCCCATGGCGGATTCTTCTGTCCTCCAAACTGAGCCATGATAAAAGGGGGAGAGAGAAAACCTTCACTTGTTTGTCTTCTATAGCAGCGATCTATTAAGAAAGGATCCACAGGTTAAAGTTCAACCAAACTACAAATATCACAAAAGTATTATTTTAAAGAAATGTTCAATTTGTCAAGGACATCTTTGTAGACCAAGTATAAATAACAAGGGGCATATGAACGTCCGATATGCAGGAAAAACATTTCACATCAAGTAGTTCACCAAAAGTACCCAATTTCAATATATGACATTTGGGGTAGACTTACAAGAAAGGCACCTCCTTCTGCGACTACAAACTGTCACATTTAAAGAGAATACCATCTGTTGTTTTCTATCCAATCATTAACAATAAAAAGTACACAGCCTTACGTTCAAAAGAAATATAGCCTGCGTGTTTCTTTTGGCAATGAGCTGGGGGCTGAAAGTGGAGAAACCAATAACGGTAGCTGGGACGAGACACCGAATAAGGGGATTCAAGAATATCATTTAAATAACGAACATCTCCTTACTTTCTAGAGCAGGGAAGGAACTGGGGGGCTCCTTTTCTCTCCCCTCCCTCGAGGGGAAAGACAGGTGAAATAATGGATGCCCCTTAAAGAAACATCGCGAAGACCCCTCTCCCCAAAATCAAGCCAGAAGAGGCGAAGATCTCAGCCCGCGCACTCCCTTTCCCCCCACTCCTCGGAGAGGCCAGAGCTCTGCCATCCATCTTCCTCCAGCCCTAGCTCCTCGCGGGCCGCAGACCAGGGGAGGCGGAATCCTCCGTCCCACGAGCCAAGGCGAACGCCAAGAGGGGGATACCGAGAGCCCTGATCCCCTTAAGCCCCCGGCAGGGCGGAGAAGGCCTCCATCCCCCAAATGCCGTGCCGCCGTGAGCGGCCCCGACGTCCCGGACCGCAGCCCAGGAGGCTAAAGGCTCAGCGGCTCGAGAGCTAGGGACGGCGGTCAGCAGTCCCTTGGAGGCCGCCAGGCTGAGGATGAGGCTGATGATGGCCGGGGACACCCGAGGGGCCTCCGGAAAAAAGCGAGGCGGTGGGGGAGGGGCCGGCCGCGCGGGGCCTGCTCCGACCCGCACAAAAGGGACCGTGTCCCTCCCGTCCCAGTCCCACGAGAGGCCCACCGTCGCTGGCCTACGGACGCCGTGCTACCAAAACGGTCGCCCCCAGCCCTTCCGCGGATCCGACTGGACGTTAAGAACCCCGGCTCAGCCGCCGGCCGCTCCAACCGCGAGGACCAGACCTTCACCTGAACCCGGTCCCGGATAACACCGAAGCCATTTCAAACCCGTCAGCCTTACGCGCATGCGCCAACTTCCCCCTTTTCCTCCGCGCCTCTCCCCTCCTCCCCATCTCTCTGAGGAACGGCGCTTACGGCCCTGCGTTCTACGTGCGCGCTTCCCAGCGAGACCTCAAGGCGCTCACCCCTCATACTATGCAGCTAGAACTAGAGCGCGCCTAAGAAGGGTTACCTTGGCCTCGCATAATAATGAGCCTGTGTCTCTGCGCAAGCTCAAAGGAAAAGGCTTCCCGGAGTGTGGGAAGGAAAGGAATCGGCAGTCACGTGATCCGAGAAGCCTTCCGCCATTTTGTGTTTTTTCGCTTTTTTTTTCTTTTTGTACAAGTATTTGGAAGAATGGATATATCCAGTGGCATCTGCTAACTTTTTTTAAAAATTGAGATGAAATTCATTTAACGTATAATTCACTGCTCTAAGTATTTTATGTTGTACAATTCAGGGGCTTTTAGTATCTTCATACGAAAAGCAACCACCATCGCCTCCTCCCTTGAGACAAACCCCTACCCATTAAACAGTCACTGCTTAACCCCTGCTCCCTCCAGCCCCAGGCAGCCACTAATCGGCTTTTTCTGTATGGATTTACCTGTCCTAGACATTTCATATTACTAGAATCATACAACATACGGCCTTTCGTGGCTAGCTTTTGTAATTTACTATATTGTGTCCAAGGTTCATGTTGTAGCAGGCATCAGTATTTCATTCGATTTTATAGCTAAAATAATTACCTTTAATGGATAATACCACATTTTGTTTATCCATTTGTCAGTTGATCTTTGGGGTTGTCTCCACTTTGGGGCTATTATGAATAATGCTGCTATGAACATTCACATACAAGTATTTGAACTCCTGTTTTCAATTCTCTTAGGTTTATACCTAGGAGTGGAATTCTGGGTTACTTGGTAAATTCTATACTGAACTTTTTGAGGAACTGCGAACCTGTTTTCACAGTGACTACACCAGTTTACATTCCCAGGGTTAACAACATAAAGTATCCATTCTATGAATATGGAGTATCTTTCCATTTATTTAGGTCTTTTGAAATTTCTTTCAACATGTATTACACATTTCAGAGTTCAATTTCTCACATCTCTTTTTTTTCCTGGCCACACCACAGTCTGTGGAATCTTAGTTCCCAGATGAGGGATCAAACTGGCCCTGCCAGTGGAAGCCTAGAGTTGTAACCACTGGACCTCCAGGGAATTCCCCCCAAGATCTGTTTTTAAAAGATTACTGTTTTAGGGCTTCCCTGGTGGCGCAGTGGTTGGGAGTCCGCCTGCCGATGCAGGGGACACGGGTTTGTGCCCCGGTCCGGGGGGATCCCACGTGCCGCGGAGCGGCTGGGCCCATGAGCCATGGCCGCTGAGCCTGCGCATCCAGAGCCTGTGCTCCGCGACGGGAGAGGCCACAACAGTGAGAGGCCCGCGTACAGCAAAAAAAAAAAAGATTACTGTTTTAAAAGATCACTCATGGGACTTGGCCCAGGTTTGGTCCCTGGTCAGGGAACTAGATCCCACATGCTGCAACTAAGAGTTCACATACTGAAACTAAAGATCCCACACATGGCAACACAGATCGTGCATGTCGCAACTAAGACCCTGAGCAGACAAATAAATAAAATTTTTTAATATTTATTTGGTTGCGTCTGGGTCTTAGTTGCAGCAGGTGGGCTCCTTAATTGTGGCATGCAGGCTCCTTAGTTGCAGCATGCATGTGGGATCTAGTTCCCTGACCAGGGGTGGAATCTGGGCCCCCTGCATTGGGAGTGCGGAGTCTTAACCACTGCACCACCAGGGAAGTCTCAATAAATATATATTTTTTAATTTATTTATTTACTTTTTATTTTTGGCTGTGTTGCATCTTTGCTACTGTGCACGGGCTTTCTCTAGTTGCAGTGAGCAGAGGCTACTATTCATTGCGGTGCACAGGCTTCTCATTGTCATGGCTTCTCCTGTTTTGGAGCTTGGGCTCCAGGTGCACAGACTTCAGTAGTTGTGGCACACTGGCTCAGTAGTTGTGGCCTGCGGGCTCTAGAGCGCAGGCTCAATAGTTGTGGTGCACAGGCTTAGTTGCTCTGCGGCATGTGGGATCTTCCCAGGCCAAGGCTCGAACCCGTGTCCCTTGCACTGGCAGGCAGATTCTTAACCACTGTGCCACCAGGGAAGCCCCAATAAATATTTTTTTAAAAATAAAATATAAAATATTACTCAAGCTGTTGTCTAAAGAGCATCTAAAAGATAAAGGCAGGAATTTCCTGGCAGTCCGGTGGTTAGGACTTAGCGCTTTCACTGCCTGGGTCCAATCCCTGGTCCCTAGTCCCTGGTGGGGGAAATAAGATATAGATAAAGGATATTAGTTGAGCTGTTTATTCTTTCATCCCCTAGGGTGTTGCCCAGGTCTGTTTGTATGTTCAGCATCTCACATGTCACCCTTTTAACCAGTCAGGAAGAATGTGGAAAATGTAGTCTCTAGCTGCCCAGCTGAACCTGGGAAGAAGGTGGGGAAGGGGAGGTGGAGGGGAATGGAGTTGTTCCCATCAGTAGAAGGAAGAAGAGGACTACCAGGATGCTACAGAGAAGTAGGTTTCAAACTAGATGAATTTAAACTTATTTTTCTGTGATATTTGCTGGAATATCACTAAACACCTATTGTCAATATATTTTTTCATTTCAGGTTTCAATAAATACTTTAGGATGTCAACTTTAAAATACTGTTAGCATACTGTGTTCAGGATTAAGTTTTATTAAAATAATGATACATCCAAGGGAGGGCATGAGTCAATCTAGAGCCAAGTTGATTAACAGCTTTGCTAAAAACTAGGAGTGTGAGCTTAACCACTTTAAGCTCCTGAACTGATCTGTAAAGTGGGGCTGATAAGAACCCTTACTTAATAGCATCACTGTGGGGATAAATAGTTTACATAAAATGCAAGGTTTCTGCCTCATAATAAGGATTCCATAAGTGTAGCCATCTTGATTTTGTGTTGAACCCAATCCATACATTTGGTCATCTCCAAATATTAAATCTTATAGTCCGGGGCTTCCCTGGTGGCGCAGTGGCTGAGAGTCCGCCTGCCGATGCAGGGGACACGGGTTCGTGCCCCGGTCCGGGAAGATCCCACATGCCGCGGAGCAGCTGGGCCGGTGAGCCATGGCCGCTGAGCCTACGCGTCCGGAGCCTGTGCTCTGCAACGGGAGAGGCCACAACAGTGAGAGGCCCGCGTATCAA